CAGAAACGCTGCTGTAGTGGAAGGGAAGTCTCGATCCGCGGAGCCGGAGCTCTCTGCAGGCAGCTGTAGGGATGCGCCGAGGCAAAATGGCACAAATGTGTTTTGTTTTCTGTAAGGGCAGAGGATAAATGCGAGGAGCAGATAAAAGCCTGAGACAGATGAGCTCGCAGGGAGGATGAAGTTATTTTTTATGCTCTACTGCCCTTTACCTCCGTTGGTACCTTCCAGTGAAATCGGTGTAGTTGTATTTTTAGCTTGCTGTAGCCAACATCAATATGACAACATAATTCTGTCTTTACATCTGTAAGCAGATTTTACTATGTTTTCCTGTTTTCTGCCAGCTGCAGTTTACAAAGGATGTCACAGCTCTGGTAAGAAATGCACAGTAGCCATTTCTCTGCTTTTTGTAAGGCATGTTCTTCTCGAGCGGTTTGCGAGGAGCGAGCATATAAAACGGCAAGTTTGTTGGAAATGAGCTAGATAGCGTGAGCCGATTGCTCTTCACGTGCTAATCTCTTAATTTGTGGTTTGTGCCTGTGTTACCTGGTGAGCTTCCTTTGCAGTTTGCTTTAATATTTTTGCACGATGTAACATCTATTGCAGCAGTTCCAAATGCCTCGCCCTCCTCTACTTTGCTCTCTGTTGATTTTATGGCTGCACTTGGGCTTTTGTAACCTGGCTAGAATTAAGACAGAGCATGTTGATATTCTGGAATTGACCATGTTATTATTTGGACAGGAAATGCTGTAATGTGATACCACACATAAATGTTTAAAAGCCATGCAAAATAATGTTAATATTCTGTTATATTGGCAGGCTCCACAATGTCAGCTCTTTATTTTGTTATGTTTAAACTGAACGAAGTCACGCTAAAGTTTATAAATAATAGGATATTGTTTAAATATTTTTTATGCTTATCCCTTTTTTCTTTCACGTATTTTGATAATTTTACAGTGGTATAAAATGTTGCCTCATGCCGGAAGGAGGCTATTGAAATGTACCTAATCTATTACAGCCTTTTTTTTTTTTTTTTAAGGAGTCAGGCTCTTAAAGATGCAGCTAAACATGCTAGAGAAATAAAATTGCAGCTGCAGTTTTGTTCTACCGGTGTGTAGACCACCATAGCAGATACGTATGAATGTTCATACCATTTGTAGTTTGAGCTTAAAAACCATGCATATTATTTTTGTTTTTGCAGTATTACAGTACTGTTTTATTTAGCGGCTGTCTCCTGTAAAATGTAAGATTACTGAAAGGGTGTTGGTTCACAACAAAGCTGTTACTGCTATAATTTATTCATTTTATGTCTAGGAACAGTAGCTGTTATGTAGAAGACATCTTAGAAGAGTGTGTGTATGTTTTTGTGCTTTTTATTTGCTCCATTTTAAATGAATAGAGAATTTTCTAGTGCTAGTTGATTTTAGTGTGTAGCATATTAACCTGTCGATTGCTGTGAAATTCTGGGAATGATGTTTGAAGCATTTTGATTGAAATAAAACTAAGGCGAAAAGTGCTTACTGCATTTTGCACTCATGGATTTTGGGAAACCTGCCTACAGTGCTCTACCTACAGTATTTCCCTAGAATTGCTCATTAGTTCATTTTAATTTTTGAGGGAAAGGATGTATGTAGTGATTTTGCTTGTCCTGTTTTTGCTCACTTAAAGGGAGGGAAAGCTGTATGTAAACTCATTTTAGCCAAAATAATAATGCAACACAAGTTTCTAACTTGTTTCCCCTTTAAAGCCAGAATCATGCAAACACTTGGACGGCGAACTTTTCCATCTCCTTCTTGTTACTAAAACATTCATTGAATCTTCTCTCCACAGGCATATTCCCAAGATGCCTACCTGAAAGGCAATGAAGCTTACAGTGGTAATGCCCACAACATACCCGAACCACCACCAATATGTTATCCACGCCTGACGCCTGCAGCTTCGGTTACGGCGCAGGCTGGTGACAAACTCTCTTCTGATTTCCCTTTGGGGAAGCAGCAAGTCGCTAGACCAGTACGGGCATTGACACAGCCAGAGAGGGCCTACAGAATGGAAATACAAGTGCCTCCATCACCAACAGACATTGCAAAGTCAAACACAGCTGTGTGTGTTTGCAATGAAACTGTAAGGACTGTTATTGTGCCTTCTGAGAAGGCTGTAGATCTGCCATCTTGTAGAAATAATCATGCTGGTCCATCACACAGAACAGAGGAAGTCAGATACGGCCTGAAAGATCAAACCTCTCTGAAAGCACGGACCACATCACCACCTTCCTCAGTGTCCACTGCCATTGTACTTCCACAGACTCCAATAACAAGGCCAATTGATCCAACTGGAACGATAGGTAAAGCTTCAAACTATGTAGTATGCCCAGAAGGAATCCCAAGCACTAGACCTCCTGCCGCAGCCACTGACTCACCCTCTGTCTCTACTAACCATTATAGTTCTCCGACCTCCCACCAGCACATAGACTGGAAGACCTACAAAACCTACAAAGAGTACATCGACAACAGGCGCATGCACATGTACGGCTCGCGAACGATACAGGAGAGGCTGGATAGTCTACGAGCAGCCTCTCAGAACACGACTGATTATAACCAGGTGGTACCGAATCGCACTGCTTCCCAGGTACGGCGCAGAAGCACCTCTCACGACCGGGTTCCTCAGTCCGCTCAGATCCGGCAGCGGAGCGTCTCGCAGGAAAGGCTCGAAGATCCCGTGCTGATGAAAGAGTGGCCACGGAGCGCTTCCCAAGATACACTAACTTCACCTTCCATTAACGGCAGGAATCACAGGGCTCGCTCCTGGGATTACCTGAGCAAACAGGGTGAAACGCTGGAAAGTTTTCGTTCTGAGAATCTGATCACGGATATGAATGGAGATAGGAGAAAGACGTACAAGTGGACAGGATTTACTGAACAAGATGACCGGCGAGGTATTTATGAGAGGCCGAGGCAACATGCATTTCATATGTCCCTTCGAGGCCAAAATTTTCCTATGGCTCCAAGCGCTTATATTTCAGACAATAGGAGAATAGGTAGTAGAGCTTCTCTGTCTGCTTCTCACTTCCAGAAAGGTCCACCAGATGTAAAAATGTTACAGTCTTCTCGGGATTTGCAGTCTGTTGGGGGAGTATCAAAGCCTACAGCTATTTCACAAGAGAGAGCATCTCTCGCAACAGCTAGAAGTTTTAAAAGCAGCTCTTTGAAGAACACTGCTTCCTATGCAGCAAAACCATCGTTCCCCCTTAACCAGAGCCTGGATATTGTTGCCAGCAAAGACCAAAGAACAGTAAATCACTTGCATCAGAGTGGTCTGTTAAATCAACAGCCAAGGATCCGAGCAGAAGGTTCCCCAGACCACAAAACAGAAGCTGGCAAAAGCATCCAGCCCTCTTCTTTGTTTGCGGCTTCTGCCAAACTTGTTCATCAAACAAGTGAGAGTTCAACTACCTCTGAAATTGTAGATACTTCCATCAGACAAAAGAGTCACGAATTTGAAAGGGAAGATGTCCGAGAGCCTGAAATTCTGCAGCCTGATGTTCAGGAAAGTAACAAAGTTGTCATGCGGGATAAATCGCCTTCTGGCCACCAAACGCCCCAGCCTTTGAGACACCACTCCTACATTCTGGCTGTAAATGACCAAGAGGCTGCTTCAGACACTACCTGTTGGTTACCTAATGATGCTCGGAGAGAAGTCCACATAAAAAGAATTGAAGAAAGGAAAGCGTCGGGTTCCAGCCCACCTGGCGATTCCTTGGCTTCCATTCCGTTCATTGGTGAGTTAAACCAATTATTCCTCTATGCATCAAATAGGTATCTGGCATCTTTGTTGGAAAAGAGAGGTAACTGATCACTATTCCTGAAAATCTGGGGTGGGAGATGGTGAGGACTTTCCATTAGTTCTTATATAGAATAATACTAGATTGGTAAAAAGTAGAAATATTTTTCAGAGTATGAGAAAGTTGTGTTTTGTAGGGAATCAGTGTAAAAATATCACAGTTATTTAAGATTTTTCCAGAATTTTCCTCCAACCCTGGAAAAGACTCAGTTATGTAACTGTGTCTGGTTATCATTCCACATAATGCCATGATGGGCAAGTAGTGTCTAAATACTCTATAGTGCCTTTCAAAACACATCTGACTTTTATAGTATAAAACATTTGGAATCCACTAAAGACAATATGCCCCATATAATTTATTTGTGGGGAGGAAAAAAAAAAAGTGATTTTTGAGAGAGCTGAATAAATAAGGTCAAAGCTTTGTGTGACAGGTATGAAGTGCAGGAAGGTTGTTTCAAGTGAAAATATAGCAATAAACTGAAGTGAATCTGCAAATAAAGAAGGCAAGAATTTGAGGGAATTGTTGAAGCAGAAGTGAAAAGGTACACAGATTCCTCTGTGTACTGGGCAATAAAAGGGGATGAAGCTACCTGAAATGTAAAGGACGAGGACCGAGTGCTTTGAAATTGTTCTTGGAGGAAAAGAGGAAGCCAGTGGAAGGACTGGAAGTAGTGATGAGGAAAGACCAGAGAGCCCTTTTGGGTGCATGAGGAGGTGGAGTCATCTGCAGAAGACAGAATTTCAGTGACCAGGGTGACCTTTTATTCTGCTTAAGTAGTCAGTGTCTGTGTGTTCCCTCAGCCACCTCCTTCCCCACATCGTGGGGCTTTTTGGTTGTTTGTGGCTGCTTGTTTTCCAGTTGTGGCTGGTTTCGTCCTTTGGAATCCAGATTTATTCACACCATATCCACCATAGTTTACCTGATATCTGACTGACTGGCTTTTTGAATTTCATAGAGCAAGTATTTATCAGCTAGCACACTTTGTCTTAATTGTGACTGCATTTTTTTCCCCACAGATATTACTTATAATATCTGTTATCAGCAGATACTAGATTAAAACAGGTTTATTGCAATACCTAAGTGAAAATAGTGAAGGAGTTTTGTGTGCATTGGAGGATAGAAAACTTGGACAAGATAAAATGCTCTATTCATTTGACTTGAGTCTTAAGCCCACTTCTTTAGCATGGGTCATAGCGCATGTGTTTTGTGTTCCTGGGTTTTCTTTTTGAATGGCAGATATACAGTCTTTTTTGGATGACTGGATATATCAGTATCTGCTAATTCTGGATTCTTCTGCAGACTGCATTTATCTCTCTTTAGCATTACTGTAAGTCTGTAGCCAGCCTTTGCGCGGATTCTTGTAATCAAAAACCTTACTGCTGATTTAAGCATTTTGTTAAGGTTCTGTGTTGTTTTGTACTAACACTTACTGTATTCCTTGAGTGCTTGCTGGGAGTTTTATACTCCCATGCAGTTTACAAATCATGCTGTAAAAGCTAAAAGCCAAGCCACAGTAAGATAGGAAATTGTGTCAAAAAGGGTTGGGTTTGATTTAAGTAAAGGTTTATCATGAACTCTTGCGGCTTGCTTCCAGTTTTTAGACAAGTATGATGCTTGAAGTTCAAAGAAGGCGGGGGAGTTGTATGCCATTTTGGTAGTGGCTGAGCAGTTTAGAAGAACCAGAAATGTACCTCTCCGTTTTAGTTTTTGGCATAGATACTGCACGTTGTATTCGTGTGAATTCTCATGAGCTCCTCAGCAGCTTGAACTGAAACCTTGTGAACAGTCCAGAAAGACTAGGAAGTAGCCTAGACCCCAGCTCCAGCACAGTCCAGATGAAATAACCCCTTCTGAATAAGAAACGGAATGAAATGCTAGTAAGGCTGAGTATCTTGGAAGCTGGAATTGGTAAGTGTGTTTCCACCTTTGCCTATTCCACCATCATTGTGCCTCATTACAGCTTCACTTGCTGGAAGCCTCACTTGGTTGAGCAAATAAATCCCAGATCTACTTTGAAACTCAGTTGAAGGCTTTTGAATTCTTGAAGGAAAATCACTTCTTTCTGCTTGGGGTTGCAAAACGTGTTGATTTTGAATGCAGAGGTACCTTGGTGTTGATTGGCAACCTTCTGGCTTCTGTTACATTTAGGTCAGCCCAAGCATTGTCAGTGATGCTCAGTTTTGCCAGGTATGTGTCATTTCATAAATGTGAATGTCAGGTAGATCTTGGAGTAGCTTGCAAATGTACATTTGGAGAAATAAGTATCTTTTGAGGCTACACATTAAATAGTTTGTTTTTGTTACTACTTTCTGTTCCTTAGATGTGGTCAGATTATGGTTTGGGAGGAATTCAGTCAGAAATAGTTGGCATCTGCATAAGTATTTTGCAAATACCCTGCTGTTGAGCATTACCCAAGAACAGGAAGACTTTAGAGCATCTTTTGCAAGTACCAGGATGCTTTTCCGCACAGAGAGAAATGCGAGGAGATTTTCCATCGTTTTTTTTTGGTGGCAGTTTCTTCCTGCAATTATGTTGTGCTTAGGAATGCCTTTTACTAAGTTTTCACAAAATGGCGTTTCAAGGCAGGAAGATTAAATATTGCCCTGCATTACAGTAGAGGTAGTATCTTTTGTAAGAGGAGAAAAATACGGTAAAAAATTAGACAAGGTGCATGTGCTCAGGCTCTTCAGTTAAATGCAGGTTGCTGGGGAATGAGGAAGCAAGTGGTTTTATGGAAAAACCATATCCTGGTCCTGCACGCTTCCTTATTTTCCTTGTGTTACTAAATGCTTTGTTTTTACCTTTGAAAGCCTCTTTTTCTATTTCAGGCCCAAGGAAGGGCTCTGTTTCCCACGTGTTGTCTTTTGTTTCAAACTACACCAGTTCAGTGAAAGGTTGCTCCTTTTATGCAAAAGCCATCCTACCTGTTGTCTAGACTAGTAAAAATACTACTTCTATCAGTAATTATTTAAGCAATTGTCATGTTTAGTGCTCATTTTCTAAGACCCATAATCTGTACGATTTCTCTGTTAGAGAACAGCAAATAATACATTTCTGATCTGCGAGTTAATTTTGAATGTGTTAGCCTGGACTTGGATGGAAATTTGAATGCTATTCAACACTTTTCTTAAGAAAGAAAGGTTGATTCAGACAACAGATATTTTTATACGTTTCTAAGATACAGATGTTTAGTGTGCATATCTCAGATGTATAGTTATCTTGCAACTATGTTTCTGCACCATTATTTGCAGATTAGAAAACCATAACAAAGATTATTCAACTCCCAGATCTGGTAATTGAGCTTGGAGTGAAGGAGCTGTATGAACAGAGTGGAGAAACCAATGCAAAACTTAAACTCGTTCCAGGATGTTTGACTATGGGTGCAGTTTAATGCTTTGGCCCAATGCTATGATTATTCTTTCCAGTATAGGTTTTTATGTGAGTTATTGCATGAAAATGAATTTTCAATGGCTGTGTATAGAATGTTTGAGCTAAATAAGCATCATCTTGAAGTTTAATAATGTTTTTCAAATCAAAACAAGTTTTTCAGTCATCCTATTGCTGAATTCTTGTCAAATAGAGAGTAGTACTAAGTACCAACAGATTTTTTTTTCCTAAGTGGGATGACCCCATTTTTGAAAATATTGAATACAGCCTTTCCTAGGAAATGAGGTCACTTCATTCCACTGTTAATTTGTGAATAGCTGAGAGAAGATTAGCCAGATAAAAATATTTGACCAGACTGTAATAAGACTGAAGAACTGCAAGAAGTCAGACAAATGCCCTCTCTCTGACACTGTCCAAAATCCAATACCTAAGGAAAGATGTAGGAAGGACAAGTATATATAATATTTCATGCAACTACTTTGCATCTTCTAAGTGTTTCCCCCTTATGCCACTGAAATTGAATGTGGTTTGTTTATGCTCCATAAGAGTTTCTGTCTGCATGTTACCTATGGAGCTGCTTCTCTTTGTTCCTGCTGCTGCTGTTTTGAACCCGTCTCCCACTTGCTTAATTTCTGATGCTGTAGGAGTGACCAGGGCATCTCTAACCCTGATTTACTTGATTTTAATACCTCTGTCCCGTCTACCCGGAGAGTGGGCAAACAACTGTGGGGATTTGTGCGCCAGTCATTAACATGTGGAGAGACTCTGCTTTTCACTTGGCTTTAAGAGTTTATCTTCCAGTTACTTTTCAAAAGCAAAGAACAGATTTTTCTCCCCACTATGTTGAAACGAGAAGTTTTTACAAACTTTTACCATAAACAAAAGTGTTTGGATAGGTGCTGTGTTACAGGTAAGATTGATGCAGTTGGTTTCCAATGGATTTCGCTCACGCTCCTTTTAATTTTATTGTTGTTCCTAAATACTTTTTTAAAAGGGTATTTGGAGATGAAACATATAACTTCCTAAAATAGCCATCATCCGTTAAGCTTTTTAGCCCTTTTTTTGGTGCTATGCTTCTGTTGCCATGTTAAGTTAGAGATTTTCAGCTTACATTACCTACTTGTAAGTAGGAAGCCATGCACATAATTTAAAGTACATTTTCTCTGGAAAAAAATAACACTCTTGTGTTGTTGAGATGAGTTCTATACCATACCTTTCCCCCTGTCCCTAAGATGATGCACATACACCCACACACACTCTGCAGCTCTGGTCTGGAAACTGCAGGATAAATTGCTAAGCGCTTTGCCAGTACGTTATGAAAAGGGTTATGGAAAAGGAATGGAAAAAGATAGGGAAACACTAGGAATGTTCTCTTCGCATGAAATACACCAATGGTTGAGAGAGCTCATTCTGTTTGTTTTCATTGTGAAAACAGATAAGCATCAAGCAGAGAGGAATTCCAAACCTCAAATTTCTTCAGCAAAGAGCACTGCAAGTCAACCCAAAACGTGTGGATACCTTAAGGGCAAATGGTGGCTCAGCAGAGATGT